TCGGCGTGCTATTAAAATGGAATCATAACACATTCATATGAATAGACAAGAAAAGAAAAAAAAAGGTATGAAAAGAGTGACAAGCATTTATGTAGTGAAAGCGGAAAAAAGTTAACCCTCGTGGTCCTTTGTGTGCCCTTTTTATTGCCTTTTGTTATTGTTATAGGAATAGAATAGAATTAGTATCGAATGAGAGACGTACAAAGAAAATAATGGAGAGAATGAGTGTTACGATGTGGATGGTTTGTAGCGTCGCGCAAAGATTTCTATTCATTCACTAAAAGTCTTTCATGTATTTTGCAAACAACCTTTCTTATTCTTCTTATTGCCTTATTTTTTGGAACTGAAAAACGATACTATTGTGATGGAAATTGTCGAAAGTTTGCTTTCAAGCAAAGAATGACAAAAAAGGACACACAAAAATTTATGTAAATTTTCCATCAGTGGAAAAACTGCTTTTCCTCATCATTACACTTTTGTGGCAGTAATGACAATTTTACGCTGAAAACGGGTTAAAATTAACATTTCATTGTCGTAACAATGACATTTCAAATTCACGGTTGAAAAGGCATAAGAAAATTGAATGAGTGAATGTCATGAAGGGCAAAAATAAGCAACGATGCTGTGACTGAATATCACACTGCTGATTGATCACATTTTTTGCATTTTCATCGTGCGTATTGAGCAGATAAATTTTTGGCATACAAAATAGGATGGTGGGAAAATGAGAAAAAATAAAAAAGGATAAATTCGCTAAGTGAAGAAAAAGAGTTGATTAAATGAGACATGAAAACGGAGATAATGGGTGCTGAAGCATTGAAAAAATATTAATATAAATTTCTCTATTTTGATAAAATTCGCTTTGGATGTATTCAGACCGAACAATTGAGAGATTTTCAAAAGAAACTTTATTCAAGATGCTGTAAAATTAATATTTTAAAACAAGGATAAAGCAAAAAATTAAACCTAAAGCTAGCTAGATCGTGCCACGATTAAACCAAAACTAGTTCCATTTTTCTATTAATCGGATATGACAACAATCATATAAGTAGTAAGAAAAACAATCCTCGAATTTTCTTTTATCAAAATTTTAATTGAATTTTTTCAGCTCTTATTATTGAAAAAAATTGTGCTAACCAAAACAAAAAAAATATTCAATTATTGTGCCAAAAACCTCATTTTAGTGGTACAACGTGATTGTGACGCCAATTTTAAGCCAAATGAACATTCAATGTTTTCACAAATTAGACACATCCTAATTGATTTTTCTTTCTCTTTCCCTATCTCTCTTATTCTCTTTCCAAACTCGTGTTATAACAATTTTCCATGGCCCAAACTTCCCTCAGAATAAATACAAATGTATACATATATACATATTTTAATTAAATCTAACCCAAAAAATTGCAAAATCTAGCCACAGAAAAACAATTACAAGAATCATTTTCGTTCGCAATAAAAAAATTATATTTTTTGTGTGAGCTCCTCGTCTTGGCATTTTCATTTCTCATTGATGCTGAATTTGTGAAAAATTTCTTCATGCTGCTTATTTGAAATGAAAATATGGACGTAGCAAATGGTATATAGCCAAAACTACTACACTAGTATTCTGAAGGAAATGACTTCGCAAGTCAAAATTGGTTTTTGAGAAGAAAAAAAAGACGAAAAGAAATTGTTCTGTAATAAAATAACATAGTAGAATGGAAAATGAAAGAGAATAAAAAACTAGAGGAGTTGGTAGAAAATCGATTTCTGCCATCTTTCGACTACATGATTTTCCATCATCTTTGTCAGCACAAAAATCAAATACATTCAGAGCTAGTGGATGAAAGAAATAAGAGAATCAGTTGACTGCAAAAAATGCTCAACTCGTTTTTTCAACTTGTAGCATAGCCATAAAATTACAGGCTAGAATGAATAGATATGGTTTCTATTATTGAAAGCTTAGCTCTTAAATGTGCAAAAAATAAGGAATTAAAAATTATTAGTTCATTGAAACCCAAGATGAACTAGTTTAGTTTCTGCCAATCATTCTAATCTTGACATTGTCATCCATTATTGAAGAGTCAAAATTGTTTTGCTTTCCATGACAATACCGGCTTCTTCAAAATAAACATTTTTAACTTAAAATCCAAGTTCGACCATTGTAACTTACATACTTCTCTGTAAGATTGAAAATCTTTTCAATTTGATAACTGAATCAAAAGTTTTTTGACAAATTTAAAACTTGCATGAAGCCCTATCAATAGCATTCACTTATATATGAATGCAGATGCAAGATGTTTCTGGTATTTAAAAATGCCAAAGACAGTAAAACTTTACTTTATTAAAGTTTTGTGTCTTGTAAAAATTACAACTAGTTTATATTTAACTCTAATTTCTTTCATCCATAACTTAATTAAATAAATTAAAATCCTTTTTTAAGAAAAAGTCCTTGAACAACTAAAAACTTTAAAATGCAATGGCAAAAAGAAATGCTGCAAGAACAAGTAAAAAATTATGTAGAGAAAAGAAATTGCCATTGTCGTATCATCATCAAAATCATTGTTTCTGTCGTCGTCAATGTTTCATCACCGTCTGCATTGGTGATGAGTGTGAAGCGAGAGAGCCATAATTCTGAGAAGAAGAACAATTTTCGTAAACTTTTTTTTTGTCATTCTTTCATGATGCTCGTTCATATTTTCTTCAGTGTATATAGATATACATATTTTTTGTTCTGGAGAAGAATGAAGATACAGATAAAAAGTTTGGGGGTTGAAGGGTGAATGATATTGAGGGATGAATGGATGAGAAGGTGTATGAATAAGGACACTGAAGAGCAGTTGCTCCTCTCTTTCTCATTTCACTTTGACAAAAAGAAGCACATTGTCGTTTTCATCTTCTGTATTCTATTGTAAATTGAGGGAGGGAAGAAGGAGTTTAAAAAGTAAAATGAGTCCTCCTTTGCATAAAATTTACTCGAATTATGGTTATTACATTGTTGACTTTATATCTCTCCTTTGCTCTCATCATTTTCATTCATTTTTCTTATTATTGCGTGTGCTCGCTAAAACTTAGTTTCATCGTCATTTTTAGCTGTCTCGTGGGTATTAGGATGGTGAAGAGTGGTGCGAGAGAAAATGATAAAGTAAAAGGGGCGACATAAAATGATGGCAGGCCAGGAAGTTTATTAAGATTACGGTACATTAACATTACCGTCACAATTGCTCTCGGTCAACATTAATTTTTTCTTTAACTTTTTTACTTTCCTTTTAAAGAATATTTTCGTCAATTTCGTGAGTAACTACTTACATTTTACCTTTATACTTATTCTCTTATCTATCATCATCAAACTTTGAACGTCTTTTACAACGACACGGCACGACAATGAGAATAAAGATGACGTGCACAATAAAAAAAAATTTCTTGGAATTAAATCACCGAAAAATATGAATTGAATTGAAAACGAAGAAGTAACAAAATGAAACATAACAGCGGCAACAGAAGGAAAAAAACAATACCACAACATCACAATATCGATTCAAAGATTAAATTATGCAGAATATTCGCATACTCAAGTACATGTCTACTTTAAACAAAAAAAAGTTCATGATTTTGTCTTTGTCTCACAGTTCTTCTCGCTTGTTTGTCTCGATGCTCTCGTCATCTTTAAAACATTAATCAGGGTTGCATGAATAAGGAATAAAATCATGTAATTTTTATTTTTCACAAGAAAAAATATTTTCATTTTTTCGGAAATTGCACAATTATTTCAAACCCTGATGCTGCATAGCATAACATAACAAAACGATAAAAGACGATGAAAAACTTTTACTCTGGATAGAATATACACAGAATTTATACATACACAAGTAGCTGAAGAAAGAAATGGAAAAAGATTATCGCTTTCTCTCCCCCTTCATGCTCCCAACTACATATAGTTATACATTCTACAACACAACTTTTTAAATGCACTTTGTTATGGAAATGAGTAATAGTGATCTTACTATGTCAGTCAGGCATGTCCGATGATGTCAAATATTTTTTTAAGCAGTCAAAAAATTGAGACATTTTATTCTTGTGTATACAAATGCGTTTTCAAGACTTACCGTAAATAAACAGAATCCCAACTTCATATTTGTTATTTGATGAGAAGAAATATTCATGCAGCAAATGCGATATTTTCGTTATTCGGAAATGTCATGCATTTTGAAAAAGAAAATTGAATCAAAAAATTTGTGAAACAATTTTTGCTTTTGTCGATTTTTTGCAATACTTTGAGTTTGAGGACTTTATACATAAAGATTAACATCTGATGATAAGAAATGACCATGGTTATAGCTTATTCAATAATATTCAATAACATGAAATGCCATTTGTGTCCACAGATGATTTTAGACTATGGTCTTTAATAAATCCAAGAACTTGTAAAGAAATTCAAATTCAAATTAAACTTGTAAAAAGACAATGTTAATTTACAATGGAAAATTGATATTTTTGCTATTTTTGCCCAAAAAAATTCATTACTATGTAACTGATTCGTTTAAATTTTTTCAATTGTTCAACCCGAATTTAAAATTGCTATCAAAAGCGTTCGAGAACATTTTAAAAACTCGAGCGAAATAAGAAAAAGTTACAAGGCAGAAAACATTTTAAGCAACAGAACGAGATGAAAATGGAAATTTTTTTAAAATATTTTCTTATTTTAGGTACTTATGGAATTAAATTAATGTCTGCTTATTTCAAAAAATTATTAACTCTGTCAATTTTTTCCCATAAAATGAAAGACATGGCAGAAAATAAAACGCAATTATTTTGCTAAAGCAGTAGAAGATGGGTTTTAATGGCATTGTCGTCAGTTGTAAATAATTTCTTTCATCTTTCGTTTATGCTTCTTATCTATTCGACTCTCCTCGTTCGTTATTCTACATTTACCCATTTGACGCCCACCCACACATGTATATTTATATAATATATAAAGTTAGAAGACATACAGCAGGCAGTAGAATCATTGTTATAAGGACACAAGCGATTCACTATAAATATGCGCTATTTTATGTAGTCAAAGTCTGCTAGAATGAATTTCATCTCATAATCTGCCTTAGAAAATTGCTAGTGGCATCTCACCAACACTCGTCCAGATGGCGAGATAGATTTCCATAAAGTTTAGATAAAGAAATCTTATGTATGAGCGAATGAATTGAGTTCCTGTAAGAATTTCTTCTCTCCCCTCTTCATAACGCACATTGAACATGCCGGTGTGTTGTGTAGGAAATTTTTTAATTTCATACGACAGTCATAATAATTTTCCATCTACTTACTTTAATAAATGTTTATAAAACTGTGTTTTGATTAAAAAAATTTCCACTTTCTTCTTTATCTCGTTCTTTTAACAACTGAAGTGATTTTTTTTCACATCGACGCGTCTATGAAAAAACTTTTTTCATTCACATTGTAAAATATAGATTCTTTCATTTTTCTTTTGATTTTCTCTATTTGTTGTTTATCAGCGGAAACTTCTGGTTCAAAGAATCTCATCGTGGGGATGGAAGAGAACTGAATAAGAAGATGAAAAGTTTTTCTTACAAATCTTTTCAATGCGCTTAAGTTAAAACTAAAATAAACTTTTGTTTTTAAGGTAAACGCTCATCGATATGTAAAAGTTATAGTTTGGTTTTGTGAACAAGAGATTGACTTCTAAAATAAATGGATATCATGTGATTGACTAAAACATTCCTTTAAAATTGATCTTTAGAATTCCAAACTGAAATGATCTTCTTTAATTTGTTACTTAATTTCAATAAAGTTTTGCGTTTCGATTATTAAGCCATAAAAGTTTAATAAAAGAAATTTAACATTAATTTTAAAAAGTTTAAAATTAAAACAGGTGAAAATCATAAATTTTCGTTAAGTTTACAAGTTTCTATAACTGTGCATAAATAGAGCTATACAAAAATTTAATTTTGTAAATATATTTTTTACCAGCAAAAAGTTTTAAATTGATGACTTTGAAATGAAAGTCTATTTCATCAGGGTATTGAACACCATTTGAAGTAAATATTTCGACACATACTTAATTCGTAAAATGAGGAAATTTATAAAAACTCTCTGAATCGAAATAATCATCTCGAGTAACTTTGAAATGATGAAATACAAAATAAATTTAAATGTTTTGTCAGACTTCTTCTGGATATCGAAATTAAATAAATTAATTCAACAGAAATAAAATGTTTTAAATTTTTTTTGGCCATATGTTTAATATCATCACCTCTCTTGCAAACATTCCAATTACTACACATGAGTAGAAAACAAGATGTAATATGATGTAGCAAAATACTTTAGACAAAATAGTTTCGGCATTTTGATACATCTTGATATCATCATTATTTGACATGAGATGAATATTAAGTTGTAGCTTTACTTCCTACATTTTAAGTGCAATTATTTTATGAAAAAAAAAATAATCATAAATTATTAAAGTTTTTAATTACTTTTTTAAATCACCTGGAAAACTAAAGGAAAAAAATGTAAGTGCTTTCTTAATGTTTAATTCATATTTTATTAAATCCATCTTCTATGTCCAGTTACACAAATTCAGAACTAATAGCAGCTTTCTTAAATAATAAACATAATTATTTAACAGTCGTCTTTCTTAATTAAAATGTCTTTGGACTTTTAAATTCATTTGGAATATTTCTAATTCCTCTAAATACTTTAGTAACGATGATTCACTAATAACAGCTTGCTCTAAAAAAAATTGTATAGAACCAGTTAATCTGAATTGAAAAAGAAACTCGAATATTCAATTTTAGCAGCTTAATTGATATTCCATTAATTCCTTAGCTCCAAATCTTATCGCATAAATTTACCATAAAAAGAAGATAGTAAAACACATTTAGAGTTGATAGCATTTCATTTTTTTTAAACTAATGATAAAATTACAGTATAACTAAATTGAATTAAGGAAAAGAAGGCAAGCACACGGGGTGAAGGGTGATAACGAAATAAATATTGGTGTTGAAAATTTCTTAATTAGCTTTGTTGTAAAAATAGGAGCGTAATTTATGCTGAAAGGAAAGAAAAACATTGTACATTTCAGAGTTTAACTTGAGTATAGCATGCAAATGTACGCTCATAGAAGCAAGGAAAATAAAAACGACGAAGAAAAACCAACAATTTCACCCAATTACATTCATTCAATATAAATATACTCAGCACATTTAAGACTACACAATTTCTCATTCCATTGAAATAAATATACTTACACACTTCTTCAATCTTTCTAACAAATTAACATCGAGAGCTTTATGCAATGAATTTTCCACAAGCCGTTTTAAGAAATAAATGAAAATCGAGAACGAGAGAAAGCAAAAAGAACAAAAATGTATAAATGGAAAGGCAGCAAAAAGGAAAGAAAAAAAAAATGCTTACATTGGTAGAAAGGATTTGCATAATGTTCATTACTATTCATTGGATTCCATTGCTCTTCTTTCGAAAGCGCGGCAAATGAACAGCAAAAAATAACAAACAACAAAAAGTTGATGTTGGTGAAGTAAGTGGAAGAAATAAGTATATTTTGTACTCCTTTTTGTTGATACTAACTGCTTTGCTCTCTATTTGTGCGTGTCAATGGCATTTATTGCCGGGATCAGATTGAAGTTTTTCTTTCTTTTTTTTATTCATCCTCTTCTTGTCGTCATACAATTGTAGAAAGAAATATTCTTTTTCTGCACATATCAGCAACTTTAGATCGAATAGAAGGGAAATTACTTTGTTGTTGCTGTTACTTGTACAGCCAATATTACGCTAAACATATTCCATTGATGTGTTTGTCGAGTCTCAGATTTATCTTAGCAAAAAAGAGCAAATAAGCATAAAGAATGGAAAGAAAAAAAAAGTAACTTAAACGAGAAATTTTTCCAATTTCCTTTTTTCGACAATTTTCCTCTCGTTTTCTTTTGTCTCGACATCGCGATTTCTCCTTCAAGCAATCATATCTTGTTGTTACTTGTGCTTGTATATTGTATGACATCGGATGAACTGATTGAAGGAAATTCCGATATATTTTTATATTTTAACATGATGCTCTTCTTACTCTCATCTCTGTGTATTGAATAGTACTGATGGTACACATCAAAGGATAGAAAAATGTTTTGATTTTTTTTCTCGTTTGTTCCTTCTTCTTCTCCTTTATTTTTTTTCTCTCATCACAATCGATTTGATAACCTCAAAAGCAGCAGCAGAAAGTAAATTGAAAAGTAAAGTGCCTTTTGTGATCAGATCGCATTTCCACCAAGCTTTATATACATCTATCGCCCGTCATTACATTATAACGAATCGAAATTGAATGAAATGTGGGTATGTTGGAGATTTCTAAGTCTTTTTGATTGCATAAGCAGTAATCGGTTAGTTGAATTGAGTATCGACACAGAATCTGATAGAGAGTGAGATGGAGAATAATGTGTTCAGTAGGTACTTATACAGGATATTACATGTAAAGTGAGTTTAGCGAGAAAGAGAAAGGCGAGTAACAGATTGGTGGTGTGCATTAAAATCCCATTAGAGCTTATGCCTGCTATGAGTACCATCAAATGCCATTGCGCGCGACAACACACGTTTGTTACTCAAATTTCAAGCAATCTCGTATCATCATCAGTGGAATAGCGATGGTGTGTATGTATGGTGGTAGAGAGGCCTGCGATATTAAATGAAAAGTTTTCATCTCTGATGGCATTTCCATGAGCATCTATTGAAAATGTAAAGGTGGTAGATGATGATGATGACATAGAAAATTAATTTCTTCTTTCTGTTACTTTCTTGCTTAATTACACAATCGATTTATTGTAAGCATAAGGAAGGAGCTTCATTCTCCTCTCATTAAATTTCCTTGTCTTGTGTCGACAACAAAAGTCTAATTTTTAAAGCGCCATTGCTGAATTTAAAGACTTTTTCCCATTTATTCGAAGATAATTATGATAATCTCCAGAAAATGAGTGAATTAAGATAGGCATTTTAACATTTTCAGTTTACAGACAGTCTCTAACATTAATATTAATGAGTTTATTTTGACAAACTAATGGTGAACATGAGCTGACTAAATTGACAAAATCGAATCAACCGTTTAAACTTTTGTCAATATTTACCACCAACTTAGAATTCTTTCACGAAATACATGATAGTGCTACCGTTGCGTTGCCACTTATTTTCTGGGTTTGTTTGTGCGTATAAAAATTCATTTTATATTTGTTGTATTCCTTGTTAATTATTATTCAATTATCTTCTCTATATATACATATCTGTTCATCTATTTCTTATTTTTCATACACATAGTTACCAGTCAATTTTTTTTTAATTTCGGTACGCACGTTTCTATGTACCTTGTTTACACCAAACTTACCGGAACGGATGTTAATATGCTTTCTTCTTGATTTCTTATTTTTGTGTATTTATTTTATTCAAAACTGACTTCTGGAACTAGTTTTAGGCTCATGGATTTATTTTACTCAAACTTCATTATTTTAAATAAATATTTTTTGGAACTATTGAGTTATGAAGGTTTCTGGAATGTTTGATATGAATTGTATTAACTTTTTTGGAACATGATACAGAGAATTAAAAATTCTAATTATTTTACTGCTCTTCTTAATTTTTATGGGAATTAAAAACGTTTTCTTTAACCATAAATGTTTTAGGATTAAAAATTATAAGCTTTAAAATAGAAAAAGTGGCTTAATCATCAAGAAAATTCTTGTTATGTATTTCTGAGTGGAAATTTGTTTTCCAAAAACACTCATGTGGGGAAACAAAAAATCATCTCCATGGAATTGTTCTTTTTAAAAAATACGAACGATGAAAATAAGATAGAAAAAATCCTATTAAACGATAATTAAACAGACAAACATACTTAAGAGATTTTTCAATTTTTATATTCCCATCGCCAGATTTAAAAAGTAATGTGAAGAAGTTCAGTTTTTTTATGTATTTACAAATAAAATTAGATAATTAACCTCTCTTACTCACTCTTACTCACTCTTATTGCAATCATTGTGAATCTAAGAATAACATTAGAAAATCTATATAAACACTTTTAATATCAGATCAAATATTACCATATCTTCTTAGCTACTGAGTATTACATTCTATAAAGTATTATTGAGACGCGCCCCGTTGAATTGGAAAAGAAAGAAGAAAAAAAAACTAAACAAGAAGTGAGTCGAGATTCAGTAGTGAAAAAAGAAAGAATTTTTTTATTATATTGTCGAAATTTCCAATAAAAAAGCAATAAAGAAGTGATAATGATTTCGGTTACGC